TTCTTCACTAAATTATAAACGAGGGTGGGCAGTATGAAGAATTTGGATGTTCAGGTCCTGCAAACCCAGGCTTGAATTCTCGTTCTCCCTGGTGGTAGTGCTGGTGGGGAGGTGGTAATGCTGTGTGCTCCTGGGCAGGTGTCTTGACCTCTCTGAGACCACTTTCCACTTCTGTAAAATAGGACTAATACCACCCCCCCTTAGGTCACAGTAGACTGCCTAGTACACAGTAGGTGTGCTCTGTGTGCATGTGCTCTCCACCCACTGTAAACCCTTCCTCCATTGCACTTACTGCACAGATCGCTGGTCCTCAGTGGTACCCCGCGTGGTTGAGCTGAACAAGAATTCAAACCCGGATGAGGTGGTGGTGCCATTCAACACCATGGGGAACCCCAGCTGCGATGGACACCAGCAGAGTTACCCCCCCAAGTGGAGGACTGATGATGCCCCCCTCTAGGGGCTGCAGGGTGGGGTCCCTGGCCTGCAGCCCTAGCCTGCTGCCTCTAGTCCACTTGCATTTCCACCATGGCTTGGGGTTGTCCGGCACACCCACTCCAACCCCCAGAGGTGAAGGCGGGTGGAGATGCTGCAGAGGCCCCAGGACCCTGTGCCCCAGCTCTGCCTCCGCACCGGGGGCTGGGGCTCCTGCCTGCCTGTCTCACTCCCATGGAGTCACATTAGCCAGTTCCAGGCCCCTCCAGCCCTGCCCCCACCTCACCGTTATTTATTTGTGCAGCTCCCAGGAAGGTGGCATGGCCTTTGCCCCCAACTGGGGCCCGTCAGAGGTCCCAGGACCTCTTCCCACATGGGCTGCCCAGACGAGTCCCTAGCCCCAACCCTTGCCCTGGGCTGCATGTCCCACCCTGTGTAGCCACAAGGTGGCTTTGCTGAGAGGTTGGGGCGAGGCCACACCTTCTGCAAGTGCTGTACGGTGTCGTGTCTGGGACTTGTCCGTGCTCAATAAATGTTCACTCATTGATGCCAGAGATGGGGGCCTTGGTGGTGGGGCCGATGGTAATAGGTACAGTGATACAACAGGGAAGACGGGAGAGGAGGACAAGGGGCAGAAGTGAGGACCTAGATGGTGAGTAGGGTGGTGGGGGTGGGGAGGACGGGCTTGGAGGTGGTTTTAATGGTGGTGGCCCGAGAGGTGGGGGTGGGAGTAGAGTGCTGCTGGGAAAGGAAGTGATGAAGGGGATGGGGAGGGGCGTATGCTGGTGGGAAGACAGTAACGTCGGTGGGGAGACAGTAACATCGATGGGGAGATAGTAATTTTGCTACAAGTAGCCATGCTGGTGTGGAGATGGTTAGAGGGTGAAAATTCAGTGACACCAAGGATGGGAAGGACAGATAGACAGATAGCTGACTGCCCTCCAGGCGGCTCCGACATCTTGCACACAGCAGAGGGGCACGCTGCCCAGCCCTACTTATCCTCACAGTTGCTGGCGTGTTGGAATCCA